GGGGGTGCCTCAGGCCTTGGGGGCCGGGGCGCGAGCCGGCGTGGCTGAGATCAGCGTGGCAGTCTCTGCCCTGGCAGAGCGGCCTGTCGCATTTCCGCGCGTGTCTGTGTCTCTGCCCGCAGGGCAGCCTCCCGCAGCGGCAGCGGCTCACCGTCACCGGATGCCTACTCCCTTTACTGCTACCCGTGCACCTGGGGAGACTGCAAGGCCGGCGAGGCCTCCGGCCGCCCACCCCCGGGACCCCTGCCCTCCACCACGCAGCCCAGCCAGGCCGCGCGGGCCCTCGCAGAGCCCCCGAGCAGTCGGGCTGCCTCCGTCTTGGGGGCCGACACCCCCGTCAAGGCGTACCACGGCTGCCCGCCTCTGTTCAAGCCCTCTCACCCACAGAAACGCTTTGCTCCGTTCGGAGCTCTCAACCCCTTTTCGGGGCCTGCCTACCCCTCGGGCCCTTCCGTGGCCGCCTCTCCTGGGCCCACGACCACCTCGGGCCCCCTGGCTACCTCCAGCCCTGCCTTTTCTCCAGGCCCAGGCTCACCAGGCCAGGCCTACTCAGCTGCTCCCCCCTCCTGTCCCACCTCCTCCTCCTCCTCTTCCGAGTGGCCGGAACCAGCCCTGGAGCCCTTTGAGCCGGGCCAGGGCGGTTCCCCGGAGCCCGAGCTGCTGCGCTGTCAGGAGCCCAGAGCTGTGGGGGCACCTGGGCCCGGACCCTGCCTCTCGCCACTCGGACCCCCCAAGGCCTTTGAGCCAGAAGGTCTGGTGCTGCGGCAGGTCCCCACCCCACTGTCACCGGTGGCCCTGCAGGGGCCTGAGGCGGGCGGAGCTCGGCTCCTTCTCGCCCAAGGGCGCCTGGAGGGGCCTCCTGCCAGTCCCCGGGAGGGGGTCGCAGGCTGGGGAGGCCGGGATGCCTCCTCCTGGCAGCCCCCCGCTGACCTGTCTGCACTCTCCCTGGAAGAAGTCTCTCGAAGTCTGCGTTTCATCGGGCTCTCAGAGGACGTGGTGAGCTTCTTTGCCAGAGAACGCATTGACGGCAGCATCTTCGTGCAGCTCAGCGAGGACATCCTGGCCGATGACTTCCACCTCACCAAGCTGCAGGTCAAGAAGATCATGCAGTTCATCAAAGGCTGGCGGCCCAAGATCTGATGTTCCCGGCTCGTAGCTGCGCAACTGGAAGCTGGCACGGAGGCCCCGGGGCTGCAGGGGGACAGCCTGCGGGACCCGGGAGCCGGTCCCGCCTGCGAGGAGAATCTATGCCAAGACTGAGGCGGCCAGGCAGCCCCTCAGAGTGAATCCAGACACACTTGGAAGTGGGGGACTCTGGGGTCAGACCCCTACCCGAGGACATCTGGCCTTTGTGCAGAGTATGTGGGGAGGAGGCTGGAGGCACTGGGGCACACCTGGGCCTGGGGCCACACTGCTGTGATTCCCGTGGAGGAAGGGCATCAAAAGCTGGCCTTCGCGGTGACCTAACATCTTCCCGTGTCCTTGTGCAGAACTTCACAGGCCTCTTGCACTTCTCAAGCTTGTAGGTTGAGGTTAGAGACCAGGGAAGAAGATGGTCTGTGACTTAAGCACAAATTCCCCAAGTGCCCTCTCCCCTCTGCCCTGTGGGCTTTTGGCCTAAGCTGCCCCAGAGTCTGGGTGCCGTTTCTGTATCTCTGGGACGCCCTTCCTTCCCCCCTTCTGTGAATCAGGGCCCTGGCCCCGCGCACTGGGGTAGCGAGTACAAGCCTGTGCCACCGTGCCTCGGAGGCTCCAGCTCTCGGTGCCGGTTTGCGGGTGAAGACCCTCGACGGGAACGGCCCTGCTGTTGACGTGCTCTAGTCGGGGAGCCGGGTGGTCCCCTGACGTCTCCGGTGCCCAGGCTTCCGCCTTCCATCTTGCCGGGCTGGGTCTGGTCTGCGAAGATTCTCACTCCGCCGAGGAGCAGGTAGATTTAGGTCAGCCGCTCCTGGATTCTGGAGGCGAGTGGCCTTCAGTCTCTCCCACTTCCCCTCTGCTCCCACTTCGCTTGATTCTGGCCAGCACACGGTGCCGTCCTCTTGCTCTCTGTAGCTGGCACAGGTGGGGTGGGTGGGGAGAAAGCACGGTGGTTTGGGGAAACCTGCTCGTTCCCCGTTCCTGGAGCCCAGGCCTCCTGCACTTGCTCATGTGCCTCACAGCAGGCCCTCGTCCCCCAGATCTCGGGCACGACGACCTGCTTGGCACCCGGAGGTTGGCCATGGTGTACGAGCACCCGTTACTCCCCAGCCCCCGGGCTCTCCGTCTCCTCACCCAGGACCACACTAACTCTCGTGCCGCTGGCCTCAGGCCCCGGGTTACAGGCCTTCTCTTCTGCCTTACCTAGCCTTCCTAGATATTTATTTCCTGTTTTTCTCTTAAGAGTAGTGAAGCCATGCTGGTGCTCAGGCCCTGAGCTGATGCGTCCGCTCCAGGGCAAGGGGAGTCGGGAAGCAGGACACACAAACTGATGCTGAAGCATTTGGTTTCCTTGTCGATCCCTTAGTGAATCCTCCGGGACTAGTGAAATAAATGCTAGGGCACCGGACAGTGCAGGTGGAATGCTGGGTGTCAGCGGCTCTCTTCTTCCGGACCACGGGGACCGACAGGTACAATGTGTGGGCCTCCAGGCAGAAGGCTCTGGAATGGGTGTGCCCGTGGCCCACTCCTGGGTTCTCTTCCAAAAACCCCTCATCAGCCCCTACCCTACAAGAACCTTCTAGCTCCCTCAAAGGTTTCAACATCATTCCTACTTTCCATTGCTGCTGAGTGGAAAACTCCAGCTCGCCAGCCAGGCCCCAGGTTTTTCCTGCACTGGCCAGATGCCTGCCTGAGGCTCTCCCAGAGCACCCTTTAGGAGCCCGTTAATGGCTCTGGTGTGAGGACCCGTTCTCTTTTGGTCACCTGAGAACCCCTAGCACCGAGGTGGCTTGATTTTAGAGTCTGGCTTTGTGGCAACCAACCAACCAACGGTGAGTAGTCGGTCAAGCCGGAGCTAAGCTCCCTGCCCACTGGTGCCGGCAGAGCTGGGCCCGGGATGGTGTCTGGAGTCCCGGCAGCTGGAGCAGATGCAGGAGCAATGGGTCACGGTTCAGAGCCCGACACGGCGTGACTCGTTAGGATCCTGTGCACACGCGGTGGGGGTCCTTCTGCCAGGCTGGTCGGGGGCCCCCTAGCCGCTTACACAGACTGGGTAGTGCTTCTGCCGGAAGGTGAGCGTAGGACCTCTCCGGCCCAGGGGGCACCGCGAGGGCGGGGGGGTGGTGGTGGCTCTCGCAGCGTGTGGTGCTGGCGGGCCGCTCGGCCTTCGTCCCGCTCGTTGCGCTGATCATCCACGCATCCATCCGTCCGTGCTCTGGGGCAGCCAAGACGTGCAGGATCTATTGGCCAGGAAAATATTCATTCCTGTGCCTCATGCCCATGCTGACATCCTGAATATGCGTCCTGCCACACACACAATAAACCCTGGATGACATTGTGCCATGAGGAAATGCCGTCTGGGGAAAGAAGCCTCTTAAACCCCGGCCTCCAGGCCTCTCGCCCTTCACCTGCTCTGGTCAGTCGGGCCTCTTTCCCACGGCAAGCAGAAGCCTGCCCGAGTCTGTAAACACAGCCAGGTTTCGAAGGGTTTAGTTTGTGAAGTCCCCTAAATCCCCCCGTGTCACGGTCTCTCTCTCTCTCTCTCTCAAGGGGCTGTCTAGAACTCTCCCAACACATGCACACCCCGAGAGCCCGAGGCTTTATTCCGACTCCTTGAAGGACGGGTTTAAACCAGAAGGGCAAAGAGCGAAGAAAAAGGAGCAGACAGACAGGCTGAGAAGAGTTGGGTTTTATTCTCGTGTACTGGGTAGGGTGCAAAACTGCCCTCCCCGCCACTGGCCCGGGGGCGGGGGCAGGATGGTTCCGGAGACTCTGCCATTTTGAGCGTCAAGGCTTATGAGTTCACGAGCACGGTGGGTTCCACCTTCTAACATGAAGTGCAAACTAATTCACAGCCACATTTCACCAGGAGGGAGAGACAGTCCTAGCTGAAGGCACTTGAATCCCAGCACACCCCAATGCCAGAATTTGTTTTCCTTCTGGTTACCCTGATAAATCTAGATGCCACTCTCCTGAAGAGTCAGCACCGCCGGCAGCTGTGTTAGCCGGGGGGCAGGGTGTGAGGGCCTGTCATCACTGGTAGAACTTCTTGTTGGGGCTGTTAGCGTGGTCGATGAGCAGCTGGCACGGGGTGAACGGTTTTCCGTAGGCAGCCTCGTACTTCCTGAGCCTGTCCACTATCTTCTGGGCGCCATACAGATCCACATAGCGGAAGGGCCCTAAATGAAGAAACAGGACTTCGTTGAAGGCGACAGCAAAACGAGCTCTGGGGTAAAACAAGCTACTTTCCCAACTTGCGAGACCAACCTCCAAGGCACGGGGGAAAGCCAAGCCCGAAGACGGCTCCGATGTCTCCCTCTGCGGGCGTGGCCAGGATCCCTTCCTGCAGGCACATGATGGCCTCATTCACAAATCTTGTCACCAGGCGGTACTGGAGGTCTTCGTCAGAGCAGCTGCCGAGAGAGCGGGACGCTGAGGTAGATGAAGCGTCACGGGAGGGACGCGGGAACTGCGCGTGCGGGAAAGAGGGTTGCTGCCGCCAGAGCCCAGAGGGTCAGCCAGGACGGAACTTCCAATGCTGGAGAGAAGGAGCCACTGGGAAGCTGCCCTTGCCCTTGGAATAGAGTCTTAGGGCTGCTTGTCCTAATCGGCCTGAAACTGGCGCTTAGAACAGGGGAGGGGAGGGTGGACAGAATCTCTTGACATCATCAGCTGCCAATTACAAATGATAAAAATGGTCTGGGGCTTGAAGGGACCCAGGACAATCGTCTCTCCAGACCTTCAGAGGGAAGGCTGGAACAGGGGTCTTTCCAAGGCTTGGCTGCAGTCCCCACCCCGCTGCTTGGCAGAAAGCGAGGAGGCACGTGGAAGGGCAGGAGTATTCTGGTCAGGCAAGGTGAGTATAACAAAGACGGAAGAGGACTGAGAAACTTTGGGCTGAAGAGAAACGCGTTTCCACACTATTAGCTACTCGAGTTAACTCACACGTCAGACTTAGGAGGCACCTTCAGACTTGCCAAAATACCATCCAGGTCAGAATTCAAACTCTTATTCTTCACGCCCTCCTGGTAGATGTAAAAGCCCTTCCCAGACTTGCGACCTAAAAGAAGCCGGAAAAGGGAGGATTACCATTTCTCAGAGCGCCAGCCTGAGGATTCTCTCCTCCGCTAGTCTGCTGCGAAGCTCTAACCTCTTGACCGTACTCCTGACCTGGCTGGCTGGCTAACCCTGGAAATTCGGGGTTTGCCAGCAGCGTTGGCAGAGAAGGAAAAATGACGTTGTGTTTCCTGGAGCCTGGAACTCTGTGTATGTGGCTGGGAAAGGCCACCTGGATCCGCTTTAAAGTCCAGACACGCGACGCCAGGCCCTAGTGTGCCGTGTTCCCGGTGCCGATTTTGCCGCGGCTTTGACGAGAGAGCGAGCCACGTCTCCCGGGCCTCCCTCATAGCCTCTGTGTTAGAAGCATCACCTTCTCTGCACGGGTGGCCAGACAGCATGGTGACGCCTGGGTGCAGAACTTGCTCCTGCAGGATGACAGGTGTATTCCAGGCCTTGGGCCCCGATGAAAGTGCCTGTCAGTCTTGCATACCTTGGGAGGTGGCAGAGCCTCAGGCCAGAGTCCTGCCTTTGTCTGTAATCTACGGGCCCGGCCTAAGGGGTTGTCATGAAGTCATTTAAAAAACTCCCCGTGACAGTGGGCTCTGTGTTTAGGAAGAACTCTTCCACCCGGGCCTTCTGTGACTGTGTCTCAGGAAACTAGAATTACGTGTCTCTGAGGCTACTCACCTAGGAAGCCCCTGGACACCATCTGCTTCAGCAGTTCTACGCTTCCACCTTCAAACCGCTCCCCAAAGGCTTTGCCTAGATCTTCTGCCACGTGTTTTGCCACATCCACGCCAACTTCATCGACCAGTGTGGCAGCACCCACGGGAAAGCCAAAGCTTGTGGTAAGGGAATCCAGCTTCTTAGGGTCAACTCCTTCCTGAATGGGAGGTAAGCAGGGACCTCAAGGAAAGGCATTCTGGGCCCTCCCACAAAGGCTC